ATATTTAATTGAATTGATTTATATAATTATTAATTATAACTAATTGTGATTTACAGAATTATTTTTCTAATATCGAAAAAAAAACATTTGTTATCAATATAAATAATAAGTGATATGGTGTTCCGGCCTCGATTAAAATGGCGGATTGTTGGCTTCAATTAAATACACAGGCTGTATAGGYCAGTTAGCAATCTAGTTTATTATATATATCTGTGTGATGAGAAGATAAAGATAAGATAAAATATGATAAGGATTGAAAGATGAATCTGTGATACTAAAATAATAATAATTTAAAAAAACGAGATTAAATATAAAAACGGTGTTAATATAATATTTTAGTTAGCATGGTACATGCACATATTTTTGTATACAACGAACGTATTTCAAGAGGTTATACAAATTATATATATATATATATGATTTGAGGTAATTTAAAAATAACAATAATTTAATATTTCGCGAGGTAGTGCCCGTGCGCATACGTCGAAATGTCCGGTAACACGTAACGCTTGTCGTCTCTCGTCTACCCTGTTCAAGACGAGTTTCATAGACCTAATTGTTTGCACTTCGTGCTTAAACGACCGCATAGACACATTGTCTCTATACGGCGTGAAAGGCATATAGCTGTAAACGTGGGATGGGGGCGTGATCGTCGACGGCTGAGTCGACTGCGTAGCAAGAATTGAGGCGTTCCTTGATCATTTTACCCCTAGTAGCGTCAAATTCGTCGTCGCACTCGTCGGATTCTGCATCGTCGTCCGCGTCGGCAAATAAGCACCGCTTATGTTCGGCGAACGTCAGGTGATTACGAATCACCTGCCCCATAACACCCTTAGTACGAATGCAGACGTCCTGCTCCACGTCGTAGGCGTAAGACTTGGCACGCAACGCTACGAATTCGTACACAGTGCGGGAATCGGTCACATTTTTGAACAGGCCCGGAATCCGTTTTCTAACAGTCGAGTAACACTTATGATCGGGCGGTAGATTGGAGGTGTCCATAAACAGCATAAGATTCGGATTGGCTGCCAAGTCGTCGTAAAAATCTTTTGTCTCCACACTGTAGAATAGGGAATCTGAAACACATAATAATAATAATAATAATAATAATAATATAATATAATACATGTTTTTTCTAGAATGCATATATTGTAAACGCACCAGTATCGGTATACAACAACTCGATGTCGGTTAGGTTAGGTTAGGTTGTACACTTTGCTGAGCTCTAATACGGCGAATCCTATGTTGATAGGTTTGCAGAAATCCACTTCTTTACTGTGTAACTAACGACCGTGTGGTAGCTCAGGGAAGCTAATTACGAGCGATAGAGGTTCAGACGACGCTACTGCGGCGTCCTGGTCGTCATAGGGACCACCAGCACCGGGTTGCCCCGTACCTTTCTGATTTCGGTCGGCTTACGCTGAGAGGGTTCCGTCCTCTCACTAAGGTTCCGTGATTGGTTACTATCTAGCGCTGGTCCCACAGCCACCGCGTTTCAGCCGAGGTAGGCTCCTCAACCTTGAGGGGCATCGTCTCCGGAACGATGAGCCGGTCCGGCGGACGATGGGGCTCCCCTATCCCGCGATACTGACTTGATTTTAAGTTGACGTTAGTTGGTCAACCCGAGGCGAACCTCTCCCACTATTCTGGCTACCCGGGCCGGCTAGTGGTTGGCCTTGTTGTCCCATTCGGTTCCCATCAACCGGATGGGACTAGAGTATTCCGAGCATTGGATGATAGGCTCCATTATGCTCGTCATTATACCCTGATAAATCCTTTTAGTCGCCTCTTATGATTAAGTTGGATTAAACTGATGCTGCAATTCTGTTCCCCAGCAACAGGGACGTAAATGACTCCTAAGCCATGTCCATCTCCTCTTTTGCAACAAGTGTATCTTTTGCAAATCTTCTTTTAGTGTGCTGTATGTTTTCYTTGTTTTCGTGAAAGTGTTTGGCTCGCATGGCCATGCAAAGCCTTCCTCTGTGATTATCTGTGCTAACCTTATTCTGTGCTCACCCTATTTTATGCATTTGTAGATTGCGTGCTCCGGGTCATCTATACCCTCGCCACAGCTGCAGTTCGGTGAATCTCTGAGATTCAACGAGTGTAACTTAGCGGCGAAGTTTCCATGTCGGGTATTGGGTGGTATAGTGGTCCAGCTCGATTGGTATGCTTAGTCTAAATCTTATATCAGGAAATAACCTGTAAGTCCATCTTACCTTTATTGAATTTTCCCACCTTGTCTTGTTCACTTGGTATTAATGTATCTAAAAGGTGTTGTAGTGTTTCTCTGAGAGTCTTTGTGTTTGTCATTTGGCGTCTTGAGAACAGATGGTGCTTCATGTTCTGCCGACCCCTTTTTTTATCCATCTGAAGCATCTTCCCCATTTTTTGTCTCTAATTTCTCCTGAAAATCTTCGCCAAGAATTTCGTTTTTTCCTTTCTCAGAAGTTTTACAAAACTATTTCTTTCCTCATTATATTCTCTTCTATGGAGTTGCCTATCTTCTGGGTCTGAGTTTATTTTTCTGTGTGCTGCTCTCATCCTCTTTCTTTGTTCCTTCAGTTCCCTGGTCCACCATGGAGGATGCTGTTTTGTCTTTACTCTTCTTCTTGGTATTGCTATGTTTGCTGCTTTTGTGATGGCCTGCATTAATAGCTCAGTTCTATCCTCTAAGTCTGCGTGTGTAAAATCGTCTTCTACTATACTTAGGTGCGAAACTAATTCAGAACTGAAGGTTTCCCAGTCTGCTTTAGCCGTGGCATATCTTAGCTTGCTTTTAAGGGTCTTGAAGGAGTCCCCTTTTCCTATGTTATAACTTATTAATCTGTGGTCGCTTGTTATTTTGCCTGCTATAACTTTCCACTCTTCTATTTCTTGTGGTATATCCTCTGTTGACAATGTTATATCAATATTGTTTTCATCCCTTGGGCCCGAGAATGTGAATAGAGGGTCTCTCTTGTTGGCTAACATGAGTTGCTCCTCCGCTATCATATCCTCAACAATCAATCCACGTCTGTCTGTCGTTCTACTAAACCAATTTCTTGAAAAGGCATATATGTCTGCTCCAATTAATGTGCGATTGCCACAGGCTCTCTTAATTCTTCTTAGTGTTTCTATTAGCCCGGCGGTGGGTTCCCTGTACTTAAAATACGCTGAGATAAGGTTTATCTCTTTGTCATTTTCTGCACTTATTGTTGTTACCGTGAAGTTATCGCATGTCAGATCGTTTCTCGCCAGCACTGTTAGTGCTGGATTAAACACAACTATTGCTGCACCATGTAAAATGTTTTGCGCACCCCTATGTTGTACCCCAGGCGATAAGATTATTCTAATCGGCGAAACCTCCAATCCTACGAGCCTCCCTCGTCTGACGTAGGGTTCCTGCATTAGCGCTACATCTTTCTTTTTCCTTTGGGCATAATCTAGAAGGTCCTCATTCTCTGTTGCTGTTCTAGCCGTATTAATCTGTGCTATTCTCATTGTATGTTTACTCATTACTGTCGACCATAATCCGTATTGCGGACATTTATCCTGATTTTCGACGCTTTCATTGTGCATGCTTTGTGATAAGAGGTGTATACCTCACCAAAATTGGCACACTTGGGTGGTTTGTCCTTATTTTTACAGTCTTCGACTTTGTGACCCGATTCCGCACAGTAAGAGCACACCATCTCGGTGGCTTTGCACTTGGTAGCGATATGTCCATACTTCTGGCATCTATAACAAATAGAAACATCCAAGAATTCCTTTACCTTACACGCTGAGTATCTGATGTATACGTTCCTGACGACAACTTTTTTGAATGTCTCGGGTCTGACCTCGCAGACCCAGTGAACTATATCCTTGTCCCTCGGGCCTCTTTTGAATCTTGGGAGTATCTTGTCCTTGTCTGATATATCAAGGCCCAGCTCTGAATTCTGGTCGATTATTGCTTTTGCCAATTCATACAGTCTTAACTCCTTCTCGACTTCGTAAATTATTATTCTAGGCAGCCATGCCCCTGTTTTTTGGATACCAAATCCTTTTTTAGTCAGTGATTCTATTGCTGCCCTGGTTTCGTCATCCGCCGGTGTGATCAACAGATCACCTCCGCTAAGTACTATGGAATCCTTGTTCTTCGGTGCTTTATTCTTTGAGACCATTTGAACCCACAGTAGCTTCTTGGTCTCTTCTGTCGTTTTTTCTCCTGTATTAACTATGAATTTTACTGGGACAATCTGTTCTCTGCATTTGTCAAGTGTCTCCCTCTCTTTTTCCTTTCTTCTCCTACTACTAGATGTTAACGACTTTGGTCTAGATCTTTCCGTACCCGAAGTTGCAACGTCCGTATCCGTAGTGATGGCTTGGGATCTCCCTGCTGACGTTGAGCCTTCATATTCAGTGGCTTCTGTGGTTCTATTTTTTCTTTTCTTCAGCTTTCTTTTCTTTTTAGTACTCTCCGTTTCGGTATCTGTTGTCAAAATATCTTCTGCAATTCTGTTTGTCCTTGGGGTAGGCAATGGGAGGGTTGATGCAAAGTCCACCTTTTTGCTGTCCTCGAGCTCGTAATATATCCTTTTCAATTCATTGTACCTGCCTACATAATGCATGTTTTCCAAGCATAAATCAGTTACTAGTTCATTAAGGAGTTCAACACCCTTGTCTAGTTCTGAGTTGTTTGATGCGTTCAGCTTTTTCTTTGTTGTTGTCTTGAACTTTTCGAAGTACATGGTTAATTCCCTTGCTTTTCGTTGGTAAAAGCTAGCTTTCTCCATTTCGTTCGTTGGGGTTCCTGGTGCGGCTGATTGTTCTTTACGTTGCTTTGCTGGGTTTGTTGGTGTTCTGTATCCCTCCTCCTTTGGAGGAGAGGCATGGTTCCTTTTGTTAGAGACTTTCTATGAAGTCCCTTCTCCTGATGGTGAGTTGTTTTGTGTTGAGTATTGAGTGACTTCCATTTCACTGCTGCTGCTCTTCGCGCCTCCCCTAATTCTCAAAACTGAGTTTATTTGGGGTCTTACGTCGCCTTCTGATTCCTGGTTGCTGGTTCCTTGTGCATAATTACTGATTGATTGCTTGGGGTACCGCCTTCCAAGAGGAGGTGGTAAATGAAATCTTCTTGTTAATTTGCAAGCAGCTTCTGCCTCACTCATATCCGTGTCCGGACCTTTGTTGGTTTCTTCATCGCTTGTGCTGTAATCTCCGTCGTATTCACTGTCTCCTCTTCTTTTCCCTATATGGTGGCAGATCAGTGGATGCTCTGCTTGCCCTTCCGTTTTATTCCATGCTTCTTGCTGGTAAGTAAATTGTCCTAATAATCTCCTTTGGTTTGACCTCCTTGGCCAATCCCTCAAATTGATTGAAGCCACTATGGTTATATAACCCCGCTGGTCCATTGTTTCGAATAAACCTTTTTCCTGCATTTTCCTCTGCTGCCTTTGTTCCCATTCTCTAATAGCTTCCTGCTTATTGCTGCTCCTTGTTTGTTGTCTGCAGTTCGTTTTTGCCAAGTCTGCAAAGGCACCTTTCTTCTCCTCGATTTTCTTGCTGATCTTATCATTTTCTTTAATTATTTTAGCCATGTTCTCTTGTCTCTCTATCTCTGTGTAACCCTTATTGTAGAATTTACTTAGCTTAAGTTCTACTGGCTCTTGCGAGCTTGTAACTGAGCTTAAAGTGCTTATAGAACCAATGCTTGTACCTCTCTTCCGATAATCTTTATAGGGAGGTCTACCGACCGTCCTTGAAGCTTTCCATTGACTCATGGTGCCCCTATAACACCCATGTGCCGTCTCTGGTCAAAAGCTCTGTTTTTCGAACCAGAATTTCCGTTCGAGTTCTCACCGCACCTGAGAAAGCTCCTTAGCCTGGTGCAATTTGAACGAGAGCGCTAAGTCTTCCGGATCGAAAGTTTGGTTGTGGCCACTGCCGGAGCGGTAAAGGATCACTTTGACGTTAGTCGCCTTTTATGCTTATGACCTAAAAGCTCTGGAATTCATCTTACTACTTCCGTTCAAGTATGTACTGCCCTAAAATGACCCCCTTGGAGTAATAATCTTTGAATCAGGACTCTAAGTCCAACGGTTCGGAAGTTAGGAAGTTTGCCCTGCTGGCGGCTTAATGTGCCACCGCTTTTACCTTTGATGTTTGCCGACTATGATATGAAAGTTCTTTAAAGCTTCAATAATTGACCTACTGCCTCGGTTCAAGTTTGCACAGTCTTAGAATAAGCTCCTGCAATGAACAACCTTTGAAGCAGGGCTCTAAGTCACCTCCTTCAAAAATTAGGTTTTAACTCCTGTCGCTATTGTAGCTGCCGACCTTGTGCCTGCTTTGATGTGTGGGGTAGTTGTGGAGGGTGCCCAGTTTATGACTGATGCACGACCTAACATACATTATTAATATTAAAATAGCAACGTCATTATTATTATATATAAGAGAAAAAAAATATTTACCCATTGCACCACCTACTCGTACAGCGCTGTGGAATTCGGGAGTGTTTTTAGCAATCAATATTTWAAAAAAAATTTAATTATTAACCCTGAGTTAAGCAAAACGTTGCTGATCCGAAAAAWCGTCATACTATGTGTAGAATTCTAAGTTTTCATTATACAAAAAACTAATTTAAAAATTAATAATACATATCCAATATATGGTAATAATATTATTGTAATAATATTGTAGAGAATTTTCCTGGCTTTCCGAATACACTATCGAACTGCTTCGCCACTCACCGGAACATCATCGAAAAAATTTAAAACCGTGCGCCCGCCTCTACCGATTGATCGTCTGAAAAACGGTCCCTTGTAAATTCCGTCGCTTATTGCTGAGCATCTGAGACCCGTGTGCACTCTAGATTCATATTTAAATTGTAGTGAATTTTCCTGGCTTTCCGAATTTGCTATCGAACCACTTCGCACCCTTCCGGAACATTGACAAAAAAATTTAAAACCATGCACCCACCTGTACTGATTTATCGTATGAAATGCAGTCACATGAACGTTCCGTCGCTTATTGCTGTGCAACCGAGACCCGTGTGCACTCTAGATTCATATTTAAATTGTAAAAAATTTTCCTGGCTTTCTGAATATCTTATCGAACCGCTTCGCAACCTTCCGGAACATTGTCGAAAAACTGCGCACCCGCCTGTATCGATTGATCGTCTGAAAAACGGACCCTGGATGTTCCGTCGTTTATTGCTGTGCAACCGAGACCCTTCGTGCACTCTAGATTCATATTTAAATTGTAAAGAATTTTCCCGGCTTTCTGAATATACTATCGAACCGCTTCACAACCTTCCGGAACATTGTCGAAAAAATTTAAAACCTTTCGCCCGCCTCTACCGATTGATCGTCTGAAATTTGGTCCCATGAACATTCCGTCGCTTATTGCTGTGCATCCAAGACCCG